TCAGAGAGTGCAATATCAGTCACCACAACCTTAGAGATATTCAGACCCTTTGAGATAATTAAGTCCAGAGTGTGCCCCTTATTGTGCGTGGGCTCCGTCACATGCTGAGTCAGTCCATAGCTATCAAGAACACAAAACAGTTCTTTAGCCCCTCTGTCCTGGGGGTTGTCAACATGGATGTTAAAATCACCAACAATGACTAGACGGTCAAAGTCAATACACACTATAGACAGCAGTTCAGTAAAGTCATCAAAAAAGCTTGCACAGTATTTGGGTGGTCTATAGATATTTAGGAACAGAGCTCGAGAGGAGCATTTCAGCTGAAGGGCCACATATTCAAAAGAAGCAACGTTTCCATAAGATGTCTTCCTGCATTGAAGGGAATCATTGAACAGAATAGCAACTCCACCCCCTTTCTTATGCATTCTTTCCTGACTCATAAAACTAACGTTGGGAGGGGTTGATTCGATAAGAACAGCTGCACTGTTATTTTGTTCAATCCATGTTTCTGTTAAGAACATAAAATCGAGATTGTGCTCAGTGATAAAATCATTGATTACAAATGTTTTCCAGCCAAAGACCTGACATTTAATAAAGCTAGTTTAAGTTCGTTAAACACACTATTAGTCAGGTTTTTTGTAACAAGCTGTGGCTGACATGGAATCGCTTCTAAATTTGATAAACTCACACAAACATTTGAGCGCTTCCTGTATCTAAGATGATTCACCGCTCTTAATCTATTACCTATCAACACAGATATCGGCAAAGCTACAGGCAGGCAGGGCCCCGGCATGTCCTGGAAAGAGTTGAGAGTGCCATACGCCCTTGAGCCTGGACCCAGCATATATCAGTCAGTGTTTGCGTTTTTTACACACACATCCTTATCAGGCTTCGGAGACAGCAGTCTTGAAGGGGGGGAAGGACGTTTTGGTCCGGATGATTGTGGTAGGCATGGTGACGGGGGAGATGGTGCGCGTCTCTGTTTCGGTGATTTTGATGGGCGTCGTTGAGGAGCGGGGTAAAGGACATGCTGCCAGCCCTGCGTAGCGCCTTAGTTTGGTTATTGAACTCCAGGAAGGAATCGGTGCCAACCCTCTGTATCTCCTTCATGTGTTCAGCGATCTCCAGGAGGGTGGGCGAGGGTGAAAGGGTGAACGGAGAGTAGAGAGAGCTGTGGGGTGAAGGAAGAGTATCCTCAGAGGTGATAGGAGGGGTGAAGGGCGGTGGAGACTCCTCCATTTGTCTCCCATAATCAAGACATTGATTAGCAGTGATAGATTTTCAAGGTTTTCTGCGCGATGTGTTGTGTCTTTCTCTTGTTTTGATTCCTCTTGTTGCTTGTCCTTGGCAGAGGGAACAGATTGATGAAGGCAGGCAGTTGAATATGTTAGAGATAAACAATTTCACTCCTGACTTGTTCAGACAAACTCCATTTGCCTTAAAAAGATGTCTGCGGTCCCAGAAAAAGTTAAAGTTGTCAATAAAATGGACAGAATGGTCAGTACAGGCAGTTGAAAGCCACGTGTTCAGTGCAAACAATCTTCTGAATCTCTCCACTCCTCTTCTGACTGGCAGTAGAGGGCCACTGATGAACACCTCTGCAAAGTCCTCTTTTCAGATGAAAGTACATTTTGCAGTTCATTTGGAAACTAGAACATTCAGATCTTTAGATTACCACTGGATTTAGTTAACAACCAAATGATGTACGAAGAGTGAAAATTGTGGCCAGTTGGAAAAAAATCTCTTGAGATTTTACAGCTCCTCTCCCCTCTAGCCGTGATGTCACCCACTCTAAGTCTTAACAAGCTCTCCCATACACACCCATTATAAAATGTGAAACAGTGTGAAATGTTCACAAAACGTAAGCTGCGACTACGTCAGAACCGTACTAGCTATCAAAAAATATCCAAGTAGTCTAATAAAGTCCATAGTCTCGAGACCCGTTTAAACTTGTAATTTTTGTTCTTCGTTAAAGAATGCGGAATCTGTATGGGGTCAAAGTGGGGTGTGTTTGAGCTCTGTTCAAATGGATTTCCCATTCAGTCCTATAGGGCAAATGATTGCAGTTTTTCTGTGATTTGCATGAAAACGGCTTGGCGAATCTCTTATAAAAGACAAAGCAACCCGATCCCGGTCATTCCGCATTTTTTGATGTGTTTTTTGTGTGTTTCCTGTCAACGCTGCCGGGCGACTAGCATGACAACATTTGTGGCGGAAGAAGGAAAATAAGATCAGATAAGTATGTGAATACTATACTGTGTGTGGCTTCGCCAGTCACACAGAATAACGGCCCCTACACCCGGCGGCGTGCGTTGTCGCTTACCGGCGGGAGGGGGCTGAAACTCGACCAACAACCAATCACATGAATCTCCCACCCCAGACACACAAGCACGCGGTTTGATTGGCTAGAGCTTGTACTGGCATATGATTAGATTGGCTGACGCATCCATTGAGGCGTCAAAAGTAGAACATTGCTCTACTTTTGCAGCGAGCACCGCGAGAGAAGCTACGCTTTGCTCCCACAATGCAGTTCGGCAAATCGTGACGTCACCCCATTCAAAGTGAATGGGCAGAAGCGTTGAAGTAGCAACGCACGCCGCCATGTGTAATAATAATAATAATAATAGCTTCGATTTCTATAGCGCCTTTCAGGGGACCCAAGGTCGCTTCACAAGTAATAGTGCAAAGACAAACATAACAAAACAAAAGACAGACAAACAGAACAACAGATCGATTTAGGGGCCGAAAGCCTTGGCAAACAGATGGGACTTGAGGGCCCTTTTGAAGGCTTCAAGTGTGGGGATGTTGCGTATCTCCGCAGGGAGAGCGTTCCAGAGGGTGGGGGCTGCCACACTGAAGTGTAGGGGCCACTGTGTAGGGGCCATAAAGGTCTCAGAGTCTGTGGAGTGGAGAAGCACATAATCCAAGATGCTTGAAGTTCACTGTGAAGTTTCCACAATTTGGGGAGCCATGTCATCTGCTGGTGTTGATCCACTGGGTTTTATTAAGTTCAAAGTCAACACAGCCGTCTGCCAGGAAATGTTAGATCACTTCATGCTTCCTTCTTCTGACAAGCTTTATGGAGATGCTGATTTCATTTTCCAGCAGGACTTGGCACCTGCCCACATTGCCAAAAGTACCAACACCTGGTTTAATGACCTTGGAGTTACTGGTCTTCATTGGCCAGAAACCTCCCATGACCTGAACCCTATAGAGAATCTATGGACTATTGTCAAGAGGAAGATGAGAGACACGAGACCCAACAATGCAGACGAGCTGAAGGCTGCTATTGAAGCAACCTGGGCCTCTATCACACCTCAGTAGAGCCACAGGCTGATCACCCACATGTCACACCGCATGGATGCACTCATTTGTGCAAAACCAACCAAGTGCTGAGAGCAGAAACATGAACATACTTTTCAGAAGGCCGACATTTCTGTTCAATTATTGGCATCATGTAATATTCAAATGTTCTGAAAAATTGAATTTTGGGTATTCATTAGCTGTAAGCCGTAATCATCAAGATTAAAACAAATAAACAATTTAAATAATTAACTGTGTGTGAAATGAATTCAGATGATAGATGAGTTTCACTTTAAATAGAAATACTTAAATGAATAAACTTTTCAATGATAATCAAATGTATTGAGATGTACCTGTATATTGTTTGGATCTTTGCTGTCTGCCTCTCTCTTTGTGGCTCATAATATAGTGTCTTATGTAGAGGTACCTGTACATATCATTTGATGGAAGCCCAAATTACTCCTGAAATTGGGAAACATCTGTTGACATCTGTTCTACTAAATATTTGATTCATTGTGATAAGACATCTATCGGCCCATCCTTTAAATCCTCAATCCCTTGTCAAAGGAGGGAACCCTATATTGCCTACAATCAGCATGGCTCATGACATTATCCACAACTAGAGTATGCCTTATCCATACATTTGCATCCTGTTAATATATTTAATATCAATAAAAGGCTAAGCTGATAATGTCACACCCTTGGTTGCATTTTGCTCTATCTGTGCCCATCCTGTTTCTTGTATTTTCTAATCCAGGCCACTATTACAGTTAACTGAGCAGCCCATTTAAAAATGTTTTAAATGTGGCAAGCCCAAGCCTCCCTTATCATTAGGTAGGAAAAAAGAGTTTAAGTCTTACTCTGGGTCAATTATTCTACCAGATAAATGTAGAAATTAACTTATTTAACATGTTGAAGATGGAGGTTGGAATTCCCACAGGAAGAGATTGAAATAGGAGGAGTAATCATGAAAGCAGGTTCATTCTTATCGTCTCCACCCTTCCAAATAATATGAGGGGAGTGAGTGTTTTATAAAAAGCTAAATGTCATCCGCAAAAAGGCTAATTTGGAATATTAACCCTCCCATATCCACTCTTCCTTGAATCTTTATATTTAGGCGTATAGCCTCTGCTAAGGGTTCAATACTGAGTGCGAAAACAAGCTGTGACATTAATTTGCCCTGCCTCACACCCCTCTACATTAAACAAATCAGAACAATGACCATTAACTCTTATTATTGATTTATGATTTGTATAAAACAAATTGATGCAAATCAACTCTATCAAATGCCTTCTAAGCATCTAGGCCAGGGGTGAAAACATACGAAGGGCTGGGCCCCTCACTAGAGGTTAGGTATATTGAAGTTAGCAAAATCAATCAAATGTAGGTACATTTTGCTTAATCAGCCTACATCAAAGTTCTCCGTAGGGTTTCAATTATTTTGGTTTACTGAAACTTCCATGAACCAGTCTTACTGTGTCCCTTTGGTGTTAACCTCCTGTCCGTCTTCTGTCTATTTCCTCTAGAAATAATAAGACTTTCTTTAGTTTTCAAAAGAGTGCCTTTTTTCCCATCAGCTGTAAATAATAGTTTAGAACCTGAACATCATCCCTAATACTCCACGAGAAGGAATCATTTGTATTTGTGAAACTGTTCATCATTTGGTGGTTGGTGATTTTGTTTGCCCGTGTGTTCAGGTAAAGCTGTGGGCAGTCTGAACCTGGGGAACTTCTTTGCGTCGCATAAGGGTTACAGTCGCCAGGGCTTCGACCAGCTGAGCACTGAGGGCAGCGACCAGGACAGACACGATGTTGACAGCAGCGACTCGGAGAACGAGGAGTACTCCGCTCTGCCGCCGCCTCACCCCCCCTCTTAGACTCTTTGGCCAGTCACCAAGCTCCTGCTTACAGTGCTGAGTGTATGCTTTCATCACGTGTCTAACCGTTGTAAAGCTGCCAATCTTATTATTTATATATTTAAAAATGTGCTGTATATAAAAATAATTTAAACATTAATGTAATTTAATCGTGGTCTTGATAAAGCATGGTCTTGGTAATTCATTGCACACATTTCACTATGAAAGATTGTTTTCCCCAAATCAAACTTGCATTGAGTAAAACCATTAGCACAGCTCTAATGATTTGGCCTTAGATCCAGCCTTAAAACAAGACCAAATCTCCAAATGGCTTAAGCCAGTGTTTTTCAACATTTATTTGAGCCAGGGCACATTTTTTACATTAATGAAATCTTGAGTCCCCCCACCAACCAAAAGTGTAACAAAATGACACATTTACAATGAATAGTCTCTCAATTTATTTATACTCACTCAGTGTGAAACCTGGGAGTGTTTAGATGAACACAAAGCTGATATCCTGGCAGGAACTGAAGAAAAGCTCACACAAAGCTCTTCCTCAACAGCTCGCAGTCTCTCTCTGTTTTTAGTTTTTATAGCAGTCATGCTTGAAAAGCTCGCTTGGGACCATGACACTGTTGTTAAGCTTTTCCCGAGACACCAAGCATAACGGAGTCGGTGCATCAGGATCCCCGGTGAAAGTAAATCCAAACTAAAGATAACTTTTGCTGTATTTTCTTGAGCTCACCATTTTTGCTTTCTTTTGACCACCACTCATATTACTCTCTTCATCTCCGTTAGAATTTTGTCCCGGGTCCAGTTCGGAGTGTTGAATGTTCTGCCTTCTTTGTATGTGCCATTACAAAATGCATTATGGGATTAAAACAGCTGCTGCTTTTTGAGCTTGTATTATATTGATGTCGCTTTCATCTGTGTGTGTGTGTGTGTGTGTGTGTGTGTGTGTGTGTGTGTGTGTGTGTGTGTGTGTGTGTGTGTGTGTGTGTGTGTGTGTGTGTGTGTGTGTGTGTGTGTGTGTGTGTGTGTGTGTGTGTGTGTGTGTGTGTGTGTGTGTGTGTGTGTGTGTGTGTGGCTACAAACATGGAACCACATCAGCTGTTTGTTTTTTTTTGTTAAATTTGTAGAAATAAAGGTTTTAAGCATCGTCATTTGCTAAATGGTAAGCCGTGATTGAAATTATATGATGTGTTGCAAACGGGCTAAAACATGAAAGTGTTTGTATGGTGGATGTTAATCTGGATATGAATTGCTCTTTGTCAGCTGTGTGATTTTTTGTTTATTGTGAACCTTTTTGCAGGGGTCCGTTGAAAGGCACGCTTCAGACTGCAATAGTTTCTCAACATTTTTATATCATAGTTACCGTGAAATAAACAATTATGAATTGATCACGTTTCAAAATGTATGGACATGAATAGAACACCAAGAAGATGGCAAAATACATGTTATTTCAAACGTAATGGCAACATTCAAAGTACTTTTTTTTATGAATCAAGTGCTTGAGTCGCAATGCAAAAATGAATTAATAAAACAAGTTCACAGTGCACACCTCAAAACAAAAGAGAAAACACAAATATGATGGGATATGATCACACTGTTCAGTTTAATTCTGTTTCCTATAGTTTTACTACATTCGATCTTTCATTGCCTATTGTTAAAATGCATCTAGTATACTTAGACCCTGATGAAATATTTCCATTTCTATCCATATCTATTATATTTGTATATTGTTTGAATTGCATATCCTAGAAATTGCAATTCCGATGTTGCAGTTACGTGTGAGCAATCGGATTTTAATTTTGACACCCTACTTTTTGCTGCAAGAGTAATATTTTGATTATATATGTTATTTGTGTAATAAAGTATCTGCAAAGCATCACAGTTTCACAGAGCTTCTTGGATCAGACCATGAATGATTTTTGACCAGTCATGTGTATTTTTTTACTCTCAGACATGTAATTCAAGCATTCAAGATGCTACTTTAGAAGTCTTCTCAGGTTTTTATTTTATTTTTCACAACATTATCTTGGTCACCTTTCACATAACATGCAACCCCCGACGCGTAGTTTGTGTCAGTTCACAGCATGGGGGAAAAGAGTCCATCGAACAGCCTGCTCAGTAGTATTGTCCTTCATTGTATGTACCTAAACAGTGTTTGAAACGAGTTAGAACTGTCTGTTTAAGGCGTCTAGTGGCTTAATGGAAAGACAAGTGCCTTTCATGGGACCTACACTTTGGTAATAGTAACTACCTGACTCTTCATTCTGTCCCATGTGTTCTTCAACCCAAGAAGTTGTGAAATAAAAATGTTCGGCCTTAGGTGGAGAGAGATGGAGTGTAATAGTTTATATTATTACTGTTACTGTATATGCATAAAATGATCAGGAATTAAAAATGGGAATACATTTAGTCAAACTGTTCATTTCTGTTCACGATGTTGGATACATTTTGCAAGCATCGTTGGCCATTGACACTGACAATTGTGCATTATTAACACTTTATAAAGCCCCCGTTTATTGAACTGTTTGTTGTTGATTATTTATAAGGGGCCAAGCACCAACAAAGTCAGAGCAAAGGACCTATTTGCTGTATATAAGTTATTTGGACCCGCTCACAGGGCTTTACTTTTCTGAGGTTACACCTAAACGTTACACAGTAACCTTACTTTGTTGTAATCAGCGGTTCCCAACCTGTGGAAGGCATTGCAAGTGTGCCGCCAAATCATTTGCAAAACATGATTTGTGTGGAAACATTTTCATTATTAAGATTTTTTTGTATTGGAACCTCCTTTCCTTTCTCTTTCTTGATCCTCCTTAGCAACGGTCATTACAGTCCATGACAGCGGTCTGTACTTCTGGATTTACAACGTGTCTGACCAATCAGAACTTTATTTAGCCTCCGTATTGTTTATGGTTGAATGTGGGCCGCGAACATTTTTTAGATTCTTAAGTGGGCCCTGAGTTGAAAAAGGTTGGGAATGCTGCTCTAGAGCCATCACTTTGTAATCGTTTTTTTACTTGCGGCCATTATAACCTTGAAAACGTGCTTATCACTTTTATTATGGCCAAGGTACAGAAATGTAAAGGACAGGTCAGATTTCAGGAGTAGAATATTTGAGATTAAATGGTTAAAAGTAGGGCTGTCAAGTTAACGCGTTAAATGTTAAGGCTGGGTCAAAAGTTCAGGACCTACAATGGCAGAGACCAGATGGATTCAGTCTTTTAACAAAGTTTAATAAAGGAAAAAAGGAGCAACTAAAAAACAATCCACAAAATGAAGGTGGATCTAGTTCACGCTGGTGGCGGTGGCAGGACTCAGGCTGGTTCGAGCAGCCACTGGAAAAACAGAGGAAAAAACAAGGTTACTCTTCAACAAAAACAGCAAGAGAAAATCACACTAAGCTAGGATACTACGATGTTTAGCTCTACCGAGTGAGACGGAATTATCTGGCACTGGAGTGTGAACATGACCAGGGTATTAAAAACTTGAAAAATATTCCTCTAAGGTACATTTAGAACAGATAAAAAATGTGCGATTAATTTGCGATTAATCGCGATTAACTATGGACATCCCAGCGACAGTTCTTCACGATTAAATATTTTAATCGACTGACAGCCCTAGTTAAAAGGCTTTACATGTGTACAGGCCCAGAAAACATGTGTATGGTCTGCTGAAGCCGAACCAAACTCCCTCCATCAAGGTTGCTGAGACCCACAACATTTAGATTTTTGGTTGGGGGTGATAAAGAAACGGGTAAGATTTTTCCAGCAGTAGTCTCTCCAGAAGTTAGTGGAAGTGGACTGAGTTTCCCCTGCATTTAGCCACATTTCTTCTGATATCACTATGTTAGTTTCCTTTTCCCACCCACTGCGTTACGCTAGTTGGGTTGTTATTCATTGAAAGGAAGCCCTTGTATAATTTGCCAATAATACCTTCAGTGATTTTTGAATTGTAACACCTCGTTTGGACCAAAGTCTGTACCTATGGTCTTGTATTGCAGGAAGGAAGTCTGGATCATATGCCGGCCATCTAAGCAGTTTGTTCTCCTTGTGGAGCTGAAAAGTCTTTACCAGTTCCCACCATATTCTTCTTGAGAAAACAACCCATTGATTATGAAGCTGGAGCATCTAATTAACTCTGCCTGGGCAGCCCAACAGCGACTGTATAGGTGTGTCCATTAGAGATAACTCCATGTCCTTCCATCTGGCTTCATAGGTTGAGTCGCACCAACACACAAGGGGGCCTGAGCTGAGCCGACATGTAGTAGTCCTGAAGACAAGGCAGGGCCATGCCTCGAACGTCGGAGCTTCCACAGTACTACGGTCTTTAATAATTTAGCCCCGGGGCCCATTTAATACCGGGGCTCGGTACCCATCCCTAGTCCTAGCCTTGCTTGTGCTTGCCGTATCTAAATCATAATTTAGTACCACATTGAAGTCCCGCCCCGCAAATCAGGATTCCTTCCATTTGCACAGCTACGATATCAAAGCGTTCCTTAAAAAAAGTCTAATCGCTGTCCGGTGGGGTGAAAACATTAACTTGTTAAGCCCGAGAGACCCCGGTAACGGGGGCCTCCTGCAATATCTTGCAGAAAACAGTGTCTGAGGGCATGTTCGTTTAATAAACTATGAATGTTTTATATCCATGCACCGAAATTCACTCTCAAAACCTTATTATTTATCTTTGCTGCACATCTCAACCCATCGTTTCACATCGTGAGGGGACACAGAATCTATGGGTACCCTCATTATCACTCAATTATGCGAACGAATCAAAACATATGGAGCTAGTTAGCTAAAAACGCTAACATGGCTCACCTGTGTGGTAGTCTGGTCAAAAATGGTCTTCAATGGCATTAAAACGATAGAAACGCTGCTGAAGTTAATCCATATGTTAATCCAATGTGTCTGTGTCACTTTGAATGATTTCTGATAATCCATGAGATATAAATCAGCTTTTCGGTTTTGAAATGTCAGACCTAGAGACAGCTTCACTCTGGAGCAAAACTGTGGGCGCGAAGCCCCCACCTTTTCATTTTACCATGTGTGTGTGTGTGTGTGTGTGTGAGGAGATTCCCCTTCGATTATATTGGCTCTAATGGTCAGAAAGAGATGTCACATGTCAAAATTGAACAAGGGGGGCCAGAGATAAGGAAAATCCACCCAAATGGCCCCAGAAGAGGTTTTTTTTGCTAAATCTGTCTAAAAAGGTAAAATATCACTTGTTGTTTTGCATCAATCTTGATACAGGGTACTTATTATATGTTTTACTTTGGATTCCTAAAGCTTTTAGTCTACTAACCCATCATCCAAGGTTAGTTTTCACTATAAGTACAACATATCTTTTGGACGGACACTATAATTTACAGTTTTTTACCATGTTCAATCTGAATTTCCTTTAAAATAAAAAATATCTATATTGATTCTGACTTTTCTACATCCAACTCACAGGTTTATCATTGCTTTGAGAAAAAAGATTATTAATTTAACCCTTTTAGAAGGGAAGATATGGTCATTTGTTCTGGGAATGTCATTTTCGAGCCTGAGACCTGATAAACAGGCTTAGGGCTAAACTGGTTAATAATCAATTTTCCCCTTGCCACATACCTCCCCTCTCTGTCATATATTTCTTTGTTTATTTCAAATTGTACTGAGTTCCCAATTAGTATAACAACCCCTCTCCTATGACCTTGCTTAAATGAACTACAAAATGTGTTGCTATATCCATATCTTTTCAGTTTTTCATGTTATTGTGCTGATATGGGTAACTTTTTGAGAGAATCAAGCGTACATCTGTTAAATGTTCAAAGCGGCATTGTGTCACTGAAATAGCGTCAAAATCACAAAGTGCCATTAAGAGTCACATTCTTAACGAAATCTACTAAAACAAAATACTTCATTTTCTAATTTCAGCTTTTATACACAAAAGTGTATATTTCAGTAACCTTTTGAGAAAATTAAGCATTAATGTGTCAAATGTTCAAAACGGCATTGTTTTACTGAAATAGCATCAACATCACAAAGTACCATTAAGAGTCACATTATTAACGAAATCTACTAACATAAAGTACTTAATTTTCTAGTTTTCATCTTTTATACACAAAAATGTATCCTTCAGTAACTTTCTGAGAGAATTAAGCATTAATCAGTCAAATGTTCAAAACGGCATTGTTTCCCTGAAATAGCCTCAAAATCACAAACTGCCATTAAGAGTCACATTCTTAACGACATCTACAAAAACGAAGTACTTCATTATCTAGTGTTCAGCTTTTATCCACAAAAATGTATCTTTCAGTAACTTTTTGAGAGAATTAAGCATACATCTGTCAAATGTTCAAAATGGCATTTTTTTCACAGAAATAGTGTCAAAATCACAAACTGCCATTAATAGAGCCCAACGTACACGATAGCGGTTCTAGACTCCTTTATTCACACCATCGCCGCATTCCCGCCCACTTTGGCCTGTAACAGGCTGTGGTGGATTCTGCTCCTGCTGCTTGGATAGTCTGAATAACGTTGTCAGATAGCCCCACCTGTCTCAGCCTGTCCCTCTCAGGAGCCAAGCCTGGAGAGGTTGGCCCAGAGTGGGTAACGCCCCTATTGCCCCTGCTTCCTGAGACAGCGCCCACCATCATTTGTGTTATCTCCGCGTACCACGGCGCCAGGCGGCGACCTGGCGCCACTAGGATGACTGGTAGATGTTCCCGCCTCACCCTCTCCAGGAGGGGGGGATGAGGTGCAGCGGTGGAAAGGCGTAAAGCAGCTTTCTTGGCCATGCTCGTGTGCAAATGCGCCTACCCCCAAGGGCGGATTGTCCCACCGGGCCAGGGAGAACCACAGGGCACAGTGGCTGTTGCACCGATTGGCGAACAGGTCC